CATTGAAAGTATTAAAAGACAAAATACTGTATACTGCATCACAACCCACAGCTTTGTACAAAGAAACCCTATAGTCAACAGGGCATTATATTTTAGTTAACAGATACTGATTCAACCAAGTTAGCTTCTGTATCATTCTTACTCATGTTTTACTGTGCAAACAATCTTAGATAAGCTGACAATTCACATCTTCCTTAACTTTTCCTGAGATTTTTAAAAATCTGCTACAGGGTGCAAGCACACACAGTGGTTGTGGGGAGGGGAACACTTTTTTATGGAGGATGGTCACACGGCCATGTTCTCCCTCCTTTCAGAATTTTGGGCACACACACCAGGCATGTTTGTCAAGTGGCCAAGGGTGTGGGACTCAAACCACACAGCGGGCTATGTAGGATCCGGCCACCTTAACCACCACTCCACCAGCTGGCCTGGGAATTTTAATTTCTGTAATTCATCAGTATGGCTAAAGACTATGGTCTTTTACCCCTAAATTACTGCACAGACAGAAAGTTCATATGTATCTATGCATTACTAATGCATCAATGACTTTTCTGATGACCCAATATTATACTGAGTTTTTATGAGAGATTTAAGCAGAACTGCCTTTTTAAGATGACCTAAATGAAAACTCACTAATTTAACTATGACTTCTCCTGCAAATATTGGTTGAGATGACATTTTCTCAAGCCAGTCGTTTAATTAGCAGTCTTGATATGAATAAATTATCGTAGAATTGAAAAGGCTTAACTCATTCTCACAAGAACTATTCATAAATATAGTTCATACAAACTTGCTGGAATTAAAAGAAGAAATAAATCACAAGCAGTATGCTATCTCCACCGGAGAGCCGGCAGCATGACCAAAGCATGCAAGGGCAAAATGCCACAGCACTACCTATGCTGCTGCTTCAGGTTTGAGGGAGACTTTGGGAATAGGACGATGTTTCTTAAAAGAGATGCCCACGATTAATAAGTTCAAAAGATGGTTAAACTCTAAAAATGGGTTCCTAAAGTGACTGACCTTCCCTGCTTCTGCTTCCTTTTCCTTACTGAGCAAGGAGATTATATGCATACTTCAAGGACAGTAAAATTCAGGCCTCAACAGATGAATTCAGGTTTCAAAATGAGTCAAGCTCAGTCTTGCATAAAACACAAAAGCAGCTTTCTTAAGTAAACAGAGAAAGAAAGAACGAACTTTCTCGAGGTTAAGTAATAAAAAACTGTAAGAATTAACTTATACTGGTTTTCAAAATAAGGAGAAATCACCTATGTTTTGTGTGTGACAGGCTACAGGAACTTCCTAGCCTAGTTATCTATCACACTCGTATTTGGAACAGTATTACATAAACAACAGACCTACCGAAAAACCAGACTCTGCATTTCAGTACCCTCTCAGAAGCTACAGGAAGTAAAAGCTGTATGTTCTGGAAAAACCACAAGCAACTACTGATCTATGTTTACTCTCTAAAGTAAAAGCAACACAGTCAAACTGAACTGATACAGGAGATCCAATAAAAAGGGCTACAAGAAAACAACTAACTTAACAGAAAGTGACATTTTCAAAAACAATGCCACAAATCATAAGGTAGAACTATAAAAAAACTTGCCAACACTTTCTATTAGGTTTGTCCAGTTCATCCCTTCTGCCCTAGGTTAGCAGTCAAGCATGCTTCTAACCAAGCTCCAAGTACAAATTTAAAATTTACCACCTACTCATCTACAGTTACTATCTGCAACTAGTAGACCACAGAAGACAAATAAAATCATTATATAAATGGACAGATTATAACTGGATTCATTACAGTAACACTTAGGTTTCACTTGCTTAATACAGAAACTCTTCCAAAAGTTCATGGCAAATGCATATGAAAAAAAAAAAAAACGATGCAAGGATTTCAAAAATTTTGGCACCAAAATGAACTTGTAAATAAACTTGTACTTCACATTTCCTATTAACTTTCAGAACAACTTGTGTTTAGTCCACTTCAGGGGTTTCCATTTCACTGCTACTTATACCAAGGATTTCGAAAAATTTTGCACCAAAATGAACTTGTAAATAAACTTGCAGTTAACATTTTCCTATGAACTTTTTGAACTTCTCCTACACAGTCCATTTCAGGGGTTTTCATTTCACTGCTACTTATAACTGCAGAAGAATGATATCCACCCTCTTGAATTCTCCACAGCCCTGGTTTCAACAATATTTACATGCTCCTCTCCCATAACAGAAAGGGTATCTGCAGATGGTTTTGTCAGCACATTTCCAACTACCCTTAGAATAACCTGTTTCCTTGTTTTCTTTCCCATCTTGGTGGTAGTGGTATGAAAACAACTATACAGATCTTCATTTATGACAATTTGTATTCAAGACTCCCTAGGAAGCTTAGGAAGATCAACCAAACAACAAACTTTAGTACTGGGATATACGTTTTTCTACATAATAATCTTAACAAACTTTAATACTGGAATATACATGTTTCTACACAGTAATCTTAAAGAAAACAGATGGCAAGTAATTCAAAAACATTCTTGGATACTTCTTCACACATAAACACAGTTAGATGTTTCATTTTTTTCATAAGTCACTTTGTTAAAAAGAAAAAAAAAACCTAAGGTTTTTCTTTGAAAATTGTTAATACTGTTCTGGTTTCTGAGACTGAGACTCCATGGGACTCTAAAATGCAATGCTAAGCTTTCTAGTGGAGTTATTTCCCCCTCAAGGACTTCAGCTTGAATCTCTCAACATTCCTTTAATCCCACAGAAAGGACTTCTGCAAGTTTTTGAAGTTACTGTTGCAATCACTTCAGGGCCAGATCCTTGTACATGGCCTTCAGGACAAAGATTAGGTCAACTAATGAATATGGGGTGCAAATGAATCAAATCCGCTCTAGTATGAAAGGATATCCTCAAACCTAGTGGGTACCTATTTTTTAAGGTCACAGAACTTAAAAGATCTACGTATAAAAGTAAATAAACATAGCAGCAGCCTTAGTTCAAGTGTAGAAGTAACAGAAATGCAGTTGCAGCCTCAGTTAAAACAAAAAGTCCCCAAAGTAGTCCCTCACTAACTGAAGCACGAAGTGACTAACACTGGAGCTGTATTTAATTTCCGAGGATGAGAACACCTTCACACAAAGTCGTCTGCAGGGACTGAGGGTTTGCCAGGGGACAAGTAAATCCCGAAATGGCTCCCTCAATCCCAGACAAAATACTTCCCAACTTAGCGATCTGAACAACATCAGCCTAGACTCTATCAAAGGAAACGCTGCCGTCCCTTCCAGCGGGTGTCTGGTCTAAGCCACCATTATTCGTGGCACAAAGCTCTCATTTCACTAACAACACTCCTCGATTTCCTCCGGGCGACCTCTGCATACCAGCAGCCCCGGCTGGGGGAGGGGGCGGGAGGCCACAGATGTCGGGAGGACCCCGAGCCCCAGACAATGCCCCCTCCGCGGGGACAGGGACGCGACGCCCGCCGGCTGAGCCGCGGCCAGGCGATCCGGAGCCGTCTACGGGAACTGAACTTCCAAAGTGTCGGTTCAAAGTCGTCGCCCGCAGACACAACGCGGAGCGCAATTCCCGTGCTGGGATTCCATGCGGGCAGTTTCGCGGCGTGGGAGAAATCCACTCCGCCGAGCAGAGGACGTGCTCTAAGATCAAGTTTAGCTGCCACGAAACTCTTGGAATAAATGATTTCCACCCGCAAGATGGTCCAGGCGCTCGGCGTTTGGAGGCTGAACCG